TCACACTGAGGATTGGTTTTGGCACATGAATTTTGGGGAGACACAAAAATTTAGTCCATAGAACTTACAAAAGGAGAAATAGATAATTCGAATAACTCTTTATCTAGTATAGAAATATATGAATAATTAACAATCTTCCAAGAAAGAAAGCAACAGGCCTAGATCATTTCACTAGCGAATTGTATGAAACATTTAAGGAAGAAAAGATATCAATTATTTATAATTGCTACCAAAAATCAGAAGCAAAAGGAACATATCCCAACTCATTCTATGAAGTTCTAACATCAAAAGCAGAAAAAGACATTTAAGGAAAAACAAATGTTCAAATGTCTCTCATCAAAAATTCTCAACAAAATATTACTATGCTGAATCTAGCAATACATTGTTGAATTACACACCAAGACCAAGTGAGATTTATTCCAGGTATGCAAGCCTGGCTTAACACAAAATAGTTAAGGCAATCTATCACATAACTAGCTAAAAAAGAAAAGTTATTTGATCACAGTAATAGATTAAGAAAGCATTTTATAGACTCCAAAGCCCATTCATGGTTAAAATTCTCAGCAGACTAGAAATAGAAGGGGAATTCCTCAACTGATAAAGAACATACACCAAAAGAACACCCTACAGACAATATCATACATAATATGAAAAATGGGATGTTTTACACAAAAGATAAGGAAAAGTTATCCCCTCTCACTGCTCCTATTCAACATCATACTAAAACCCTAGCTAATGCAATAAGACAAGAATATAAAATAAAGTAAAACGTATAAAGATTGGAAAGGGAGCATTAAAATGCCCTTTGCTCACTGATAAATTGATTTTCTATGTAGAAAATCTCAAAGTATCAGGCAAAAACCCTTCTGGATTATAGCAAGGTTGCACAGTATAAGGTTAATATACAAAATCAATTGCTGTCCTACATCCAGCAACGAACAATGAGAATTTGAAATTAAAAGCCCAATACCATTTTCATTAGCATCAAGAAAATGAAATAGACACAATCTAGCAAAATACGGGCAGGGTGTATGTGAGAAGAACTATAAAATCTGTTGAAAGAAATTAAAGATCTAAATAAATGAAGAGACATCCATGTTCACAAAATTAGACTCAGTGTTGTTAAGATGTCAGTTCTCTTCAATGTGATTTATAAATTCAATACAACTTTGGTGAAAGCATGAACAAATTATTGTGTGGAAACTGACAAACTAATTCTAAAGTTTATATAGAAAGACAAACTAACCAGAATAGCCAACAATATTGTAGGGGAGGAACAAAGTTCAAGGACTTGCAAAGTGATCAGTGGAACAGAATAAAGAACTCAGAAATAAGAGCCCACAAACACAGTCAATTGATCTTTTACAAAAAGGTAAAAGCAGTTCAATGGAGAAAGGGTAGCTTTTTCAAAAACAGTGATGAATCCATTTCATGTATTATATATACATATATGCAAAAAAAAAGGAATTGAGACACAGACCTTGCTCCTCAAAAATTAATTCGAAGGATACATTTTTAAGTTAACAATATTTTAAATTGTCAAACCATAATCGCATACATTTATGGGGTACAATGTGATGCTTGGATATATGTATAAAATGAGGAATGACTACATCGTGGATAAAATATCCATCACCTCAATTTTTTTGTGGTCAGATATTTGAAATTTACTTTTTGTTATTTTGAAATATACAGTACATTATTATTGACTATAGTCATCCTGCTGCGCAATAGATTTCAAAACGCGTTTCTCCTGTTTAACTGAATCTTTGCACCTGTGAACAACTTCCCATTTTTTTCTCCCCAGCAACACAGCCTCCGGTAAACATCATTATACTGTCTACCTTTATGAGTTCAATTTTTAGACCTAAATTTAAATCAAAAAGCTGTAAAACTTTTGTAAAATAACAAAAGGGATAGATACTTAGGTAACTTTGGGTTTGGCAATTACTTTGCAGATATAACACTAAAGTACATACAAGACAAATTTTTACCATGAAAGATGATACTGGTATGACTTTGTTACAATTAAAAACTTTTGCTCTGGGAAAGGAAATATTAAAAGAATGGAGAAACAAGCCACAGACAGGGAGAAAATACTTGCAAAACACTTGTCTTGCATCCAGACCATTAACAACCACTTACAACTCAACAATAAGAAATCAAACAACCCAATTAGTAAATAAACAAAAGATGTAAAAAGGCTCCCATCAGAGATGGCATATAGAAGGGGAAAAGTTTATGAAAAGATGTTCGCCCTCCCAGCGCTTTTCCCTCCCTGCGTCCGTCTCTCCCCCACACACCCTCCTCGAGGTGGGAGCGGGTCAGGAGCGCTGGGCGGTGGCTATGACGCGCTGTCTCTAGGGCAAGGCGTAGGATTTAAGCGCATTGTAAGCCGTGGGTCCCGGGGAATCCCAAGAGGCTGCGCTTGGAGCCCAGACTGACCCGCCTCTCTCATGGTCCCGGCCCGCTGCCCTGCAGAACCCGCCTTACTCTTCCTCTCTTCAGGCCTGCTAGCCGCGGCAGGCCTTGGCTCCCCGGATCCTGGTGGACCCACAAGGAGCTGCGTCCAGGAGGAGCCGCCGCCCGGGAACAAGCTGCCCGCGGGCCCTGGGGAGAATCGCCCCTCCGATGAGCTCGGCTGAGCGTGCACGCAGTGTCGAAATCAAGGACGCCTGGATGCTTTTCGTGGCAGAGTGACAAAGGTTTAACAACAAGAAGAGGAGCAGGGGCCAAGACAAGAAGCTGAAGTTCTGCCTGCCAGGACCCCCGGGTCCCAGCATCCCACCTGAGGCGCTGCTGCAGGAATTCCAGCTGCTGCTGAAAGGTGCGGTGCCGCAGGGCCAGCGTGCGGGACCCTGAGCCCAGGATGCCAGTCCTCGCGGGGCCGATCGCTGCGAGCCTCGCTCAAGTCCAGTCGCCTCCAGGGAGGACTAATGCCCACGAGACGCGGGGGGTGAGGGCGGTGCTGGCCGCACCCCTGGTCCTGCAGCCGCGGAAGCCGCGCGAGGAGGCCGCCTTCCACTGCCGCCTGCGCCGGGACGGGTTGCTGCAGGGGTGCAGCTGCAGGAGCTCCGCGCCTGCTGCTTCTCCGACGCCAGGGCGCCACCAGGATGGCAGGTGCAGGAGGCTGCGGCTGTGGGCAGATGCGGCTTCCAGCCCCAGGTCCCGGCGGCCCCTGGCTTCCCAGCCCGCTGTCCCGTGGGCAAGATGAAGAAAGCCACCCCATCAGCAGGTCAGCTGCCCCGCCTGGCAGCACAGCCGGACAAAGGCAACCCGAAGTTCATCCTCTCTGAGGTGACTTCATGCGGGCAGCGGACCCGCGCCCAGGATGCTGGGGAGCCCTGTGCGCCGGAGGCCGGCCCCTGGGGCCCAGAGGCGTCACAGGGCGAGAAGGCACCCGCCTCCCAGCGACTTCACCCTCCGGCCCGCCCGGCCCGCGAGGTGTCCCAGAGGCTGCGGACAAGCCAGGCATTCTGCTCGGCGGCGGCTGCACAGGGGCGAGAACTGAGAACCTCCGATCAACCCCAATCGGGGTGACTGCCAAGTGCCCATGCCAGCGACCCCGATCTCCCTCCTGTGGAGGAGTGGGGCGGGAGGCATGGCCGGAGGCCTCAGGCTGGGCGCGCTGGCGATCCCGAGGCAGACCAGGTCATGCACCTTCAGCCCGCCTGGGCACCCAAGCTACAGCCGGCTTCTGTGTGCAGGCAGCAGCCTCCAGGCAATCCCCGAGCCCGCCCGCACTCCCCATATCTCAGAACCGGGGTCAGACGTCCCAGTGGCTGCGGCTAAGCCAGGCGGTCTGCCCTGCGGCGGCAGCACAGGGGCGGGAACCGGCCCTCAGCCCCATCCCCGGTGGCTGCAGAGGGCCCCCGGCTAGAGGTCCCGAGCTCCGGCAGAGCAGGAGCCGGCGGGGGCAGGGCCTGGCGGGCTCTCAGGCCAGGTGCACTCGCGATCCAGAGGCCGCCCAGGCCGTGCTCCACCACCTGAGCGCCCAAGCTGCAGGCGCCCTCTACCTGCTGGCAACAGCTGCCTGGCAACTCCCAAGCTGGCTGGCGCTCCCAGCCTCGCAGAACCGGGGCTAGATGTCGCCGTGGCTGCGGCCAAGCCAGGCGGTCTGCCCCGCGGCGGCTGCGCCGGGGCGGGAACCAAACCCCAGCCCCATCCACGGTGGCTGCGGAGGGCTCCTGTCAGCTGCCGCGATCTCTCTTCAGAGGAGGAGCCGGCGGGAGTCACGGCCCTCAGGCCGGAAGGGATGCACGCCTGCGATTCTGGGACGTCCCGCGCGAGCCCAGGAGAACCCGCAAGCCAGCGGCGCCTGCGCCCGAGCTGCAGCAGCCCCCTTCCGGCCACGCGGGCTTGGGAGCGGCTTCCGGAGTCCCGGCGGGCGCTGACCTGCAGGCGCCCGCCTAACGGCTTCACGGGGACTCGCTGGTCTGAGAGGTCTGAGCGCTGAGCTGCAGGCGCGCGCCTAACGGCTTCGTGGGGCACACGCGGTCTGAGAAATCGGAGGGCTGAACTGCAGGCGCGCGCCTAACGGCTTCGCGGGGCTCGCTCGGTGTGAGAGGTGGGAGCGCTGAGCGGCAGGCACGCGCCTAACGGCTTCGCGGGGCTCGCTGGTCTGAGAGGTCTGAGCGCTGAGCGGCAGGCACGCGCCTAACGGCTTCGCGGGGCTCACGGGGTCTGAGAGGTCTGAGCGCTGAGATGCAGGCGCGCGCCTAACGGCTTCGCGGGGCTCACTCGGTCTGAGAGGTCGGAGGCTGCGAGTGTCGCTGCTGAAGGCTGTGGTGGACCGGGCTGGATCGCGGATTCTGAGCTACATCGCGGGTTTGGGGACGGATCTTGGATTTGGGGGTGGATCGCGGGTTTGGGGGTGGATCTTGGATTTGCGGGTGGATCGCAGGTTGGTGGGGGGATCGCGGATTTGGGACTGGGTGGGGGTGGAAAGGCCACGAGGGGCCGCGGCGGCTCAGGAGCGGGTTGTGGGCGTCTGAGAAGTCGCCACCATGAGGAAGCTCTTCAGCTTCGGGAGACGCCTGGGCCAGGCGCTCCTGAGCTCCAGGGACAAAGAGTACGCGGGTCCCGGGTACCACATCCTGGACTGGGAACTGCGGAAGATCCACAGGGCGGCCATCAAGGGCGACGCCGCGGAGGTGGAGCGCTGCCTGAGGCGGTTTCGGGACGTGGACGCCCGCGACAGAAAGGACAGGTAGCGGGGGCTCAGCCTGAGGTGGGAGGGGGGCCCCAGGCCTGGTTTCACCGCAGCCCCTGAGGCGGGGGCCTTGGAGGGCGCCGGCACCCTCGGAGCCGAGGAGCCAAATGGAGCCTCAGCTGCTTTCCATCGCTGGCAATTCCCTTACTGCAGCGCTTGGTGGAGAATTTGAGTGATTTAACTCACGAAGTTAAGCATATACACGTTTAAAACATGGGGTCATATACATGATAGGGAGATGCCTAATGAGAACTCATTCCCATGTCAAAAATACCAGGAGCCATTTTCAGTAGGCGAAGAGTTCTCAGATAAAACCCTATGTCGGTTGGTTTTACATCCGAATCCACCTAGGTAGATAGGTTCTTTACTGCGGCTTCTTAGAGGGACACTTGGAAGTGGGACGTGGGTTCCTTGAATGGGAAGACTCAGTTTTCTCAAAATGTGAGCTCTTAATATGTTTATCAGTTTTACATAAACCGAATGAAAATATCGAGGTTTTATCATTTTTGCATGACACTTGCTTACCATTGTGGTGACATTTAAAAATTTTTATAATGGAGTGAAACGACTTGCTCCTCTAGATATCAAAATGTGCTATTAATTCCCACAATCAATTATTTACTAACAGCTGAAAACACAGATAAATAAATGGAACAGAATAGGAAATTCAAAAACACTGAAATATATGTAAGATATATACATAGGGATTGATAATGGTAACCTTTCAGATGAGTAGGAAAGGATGAGTTATTAATAAAATGCCTACTGTGTGAAGAAAACTAATGAAACTTCATGTCACAAAAATGAGTTCCTGATGGAATATAGACTAAAATTTTTACATATGCAAAATGAGAAAAGTACCAGAAGAAAACAAAAAGACTTATTTATGCAGGTACATTTTATGTTAACAAAGGCCTTCCTAAGAATGATCTGACAAGCAGGCATTCTGAAGACTGATTTAGCAAACTAAATTAAAATCCCCTGTGTATCAGAAAAAAATTAACAAAAGATAACACACTTGAAAAATATTTACAATATATATTTTTACTAATATGTAAAAATATGTATTCAGATGAAAAGTATATCTTCATCCTACAGGGAAGTTATTCTTTATTATATATGATATGATATATATTGATTATATATATAACAAATTATATATATTGCTAATATAATATGTTTTTTATATATATCAGTTATATATATATAGATAGAAAGCACATCTTTATTTTACAGGGAATTCTTTCCAATCAAATCCACAAGAAAACTGTAAAAGTGAGCAAAGTACTTTTTTTGCAGATCTACAGGTTACTTATGTACATAGGAAAAAAATCCTTAGTGTTTCTCGTAAGAGAATTTAAGTTGTAAGAGGAATGAGACTGTTTTCTATCCACAATGTTTGTGAGAATACAGAGCAGTGGTACTTATACTGCTGCTTGAAGTTTAAGTTGCTGATGACTTTTCAAGTAGATAATTTGGAGATAATTACCACATTTTAAAAATGTATATGCCCTTTGCCCATCAATTCCATTGTATTAAAATACCTTTAGAAAATAGAGATACAGTTAATGGCTGATCTGAGGGGGCGGAGCAAGATGGCCAAATAGGAACAGCTCCAGTCTCCAACTCCCAGCACAGGGACACGGAAGACAGGTGATTTCTGCATTTTCAACTGAGGTACTGGGTTCATCTCACTAGGGAGTGTGGGACAATCAGTGCTGGTCAGCTGCTGCAGCCCGACCAGACGAGAGCTGAAGGCAGGGTGAGGCACTCGCACTCCACCTGGTAAGCGCCAAAGGGGGAAGGTGAATCCCTTTTCCCTAAGCAGGGGAACTCCTGACACACAACAGCCTGAAAATCAGGTAACTCCCACCCCAATACTTGTGCTCTACCAAGGATCTAGGCAAACGGGCACACAGGAGACTATATCCCCCACACACCTGGCCATGGAGGGTCCCCACGCCCACGAGCCTCCCCTATTGCTAGCACAGCAGTCCGTGCGAGTCTGGGCCGCAAGGGGCGAGCAGCGCGAGGCTGGGGGAGGGGCGTCCGCCATTGCTGGCAGGCTCTAAGCTAGAATAAACAAGCTGCTGGGAAGGGCTCGAACTGGGGTGGAGCTCCACGAGCAGCCAAGGATCGGCTGCCTGTCTCTGGTAGACTCCACGCCGTGCGTGGACCAGGGCACAGCTAAACAACAACGAACAACCGCAACAAAGCAGCTGAAAACCGCTGTCAGACGGCAAACGACTGTGATCAGCTTTTGAAGGAGAGCAGTGGATCTCCCAGCATGGAGTCTTGAGAGTCTGGAAATGGACAGACTGCCTGCTCAAGTGGGTCGCCTGCCAGTCGGTTCACCTTTACCTTGTGTCGGTACGTGCAACTGCATAACTGTGAGACATCCCGCGTCTACACAGCCCGTGCCTCAGTGCATTGATGCTTGCTTAGTTGTTAC